CATTTATGAATTAAGGCCAAAATTGGAATTGGAAAATAAATCAAAATAACAATATCACATCCCCAAAATTACTATGCCTAAAAAATGACATGAAATCGCTGCTGCCATTGTAACCCTATTTGATGACAGGGTAGAGCTGTCAAAGTTTTGTAAAAAGAATTTTGGTCAGCTGAAAACAAAAACAAAAAAGCAAAACTTTGGTTTCTACCCAACTAAATGCTGACCTAATTCAATAGTTTTTCAATGATAACTTGAAAATAGTCAATAAGTAAAATATTCCTTTCTATTTACCTTTCATTGAAATCCATGATTAATTGTCTTTCACAACAGAAATGGCACATTCAGCTCTGAAAACAACAATTTGTATTACTTTTCTCAACATGTGTTCTGGATAGATGTTCTTTTGGTTCCAAGTTTAAGAAGTATTTTTTCCCAACTTTTTAAACTTATATATTTATTACACACTCGATAACCAATCCTAAAAATAAATTGTTAAAATAAGAAATAAGATGGCTCATGCCTGTAATCCCAGCACTTTGGGAGACTGAGGCAGGAGGATCTTTTGAGGTCCGAAGTTTGAGACCGGCCTGAGCAACATAGGGAGATCCCATCTCTACAGAAGAGTGAAAAATTAGGGAGGCCTGGTGGTGCATGCCTGTTATCCAGCTACTTGGGAGGCTGAGGGGGAGGGATCACTTGAGCCTAGGAGGTTAAGGCTGCAGTAAGCCAAGATCACATCACTGTACAACTGCCTGGGCAACACAGTGAGACCCTGTCTCAAAAATAAGAAGAAGAAGATATATAAAAAAGGAAAGATCTTAACAGATGATGGCGTACATGAAAATGCCTATGGATGCACATGTCCCTTAAGTCAGTGAGAGTAGAATCAGGCCCTGGTGAGGCAGGAGTCACATTTATGTAACGGCCTGGCCATTGGGGCTCTAGTCTAGAAAGACTTGTTGTCAAGGGGAGTTACATAATCTCTTCTTTTTCCTTAGAGAGCTTTAATGGAGGGGAGGGAGAGACTAAGATCTGTGAAGGGTGGTTTGGCTGCAATGCTGTCTGAAGGCATGAGAATGAACTCTAAGGCAGCTTCAGCATTGGAATAAGAGTCTGGGCCACACTCAACATCTTTGGAGTTCAACCGCTATCACTACTGTATTTGGCCACAGAAAGGAGGGGCCGTTCCAATCTTCCTTACAATTACCGCTCTAATTATTACATTATACTTTCACAATTTAATCCCTTTATTTGCCTCACTGCCTTTTTGGGGCTAAGTGAGCACCACAGTGTGATGCCTGATGATGTAGCTAGCAGGGTAGCCTCACCAAGTGTTGCGCAGCTGCCAGCTACAAGCACAGCCAGGTGGGCAAGTCCAGAGTGCTAATCTGGACAGTGACATCTCTGTCTTCTGCTCAAAATCCTTGAAACTTGCTCTCTCCAATATGGAGTAAAACTGAGCACATACATCAATGCCAAGAATCACCCTGTGCTTTGCTCTGTTAAGCTTTTGGTAGCATTTCAGCATCCTAAAGAATAATCATGCATAGAATTCCAATTGCTCTATTCTAATTATTGTTCAGTAAGTAACTATTGCAGAGCTATTAATGTCTAACCTGTAAAATGTTTTGAGACATGTATCAGGAAATTTTTTCACATTGTTATTCTATCTTTACAAAACATACCAAAGACTCGAGGGTTTAATCCCCTAAACCCTAAACATTGGTATTTCCTCAAGGCAGGAGACATTTGTTAGAGGAATTCATCTCAATCCACAGCCTTTGGGAACAAAGCTTTAATAAAATGTGCATAAGAGGACACTCCAACCAACCTGCTGTCTGAATCGCAGTAGGTTCTCAGTAAATATTTGTTGAATAAATGGGAGTGGTTTTCACATCGGGAACCTCTTGCTTATATCAGTGCACTCAGTGCTCCTGAATTTATCCCAAAATATTTGCTTATCTTTGTGTAGTTACATGCAGAGCTGTGTAAACTGAGTTAACAAAATCAAATTAATAACAGTTTAAATTTTATATACTTTGTAACCATAAGGGTTACAACACTGTTGAACAATGGCTGGTAAACACCCAAAGATATGAGGTGTGCTTTCATTCTCAAGTTTTGCAGTGGTACCAAATAGACTGAAGAGATTTCTCAAATACCCAGAGGTGATAAAAAGCCTTGTGCACAGACCACCATTGTTTTTAGCTTACTTGCTTTCCATGTGATTTTCTATTTCATTTTAAACTTAAGTATTCTGAGGTTAATGCCTTCAACTTATAGATGAGGATAAAGAAAATAAAGATCCAGTAAATTAAAGATTTTTGTAAGAAAATATCAGTAAATATAGCAATGTTGAGCCAGAAATTATAAAGATACAGCTATGAAGATATTTAGGACATTCATATATACTGCATACAACTTGGCTTTGTGCTCTTCATTACAACTATGAAAGGCTATGAAAAGATTAGGATTAAGTATCTCATCTACTATGTAAGAGTATGATGTCTTGAGAAATCGTGCTTTGGGTAAACATTTTTTTTTTTTTTTTTTGAGACTGTGTCTAGCTCTGTCAACCCAGGCTGAAGTGCAATCATGGCTCACTGCAACCTGCAATTCCTGGGCTCAAGCAATCCTTCTGCCTCAACCTTTCCAGTAACCAGGACTACAGGCACATGCCACCATGCTCAACTAATTTGTAAATTTTTTACAGAGATAGGATTCTCACTTTGTTGCCCAGATTAATCTTTTAAACTTTTGGCCTTAGGGATCCTCCAGCCTCAGCCTCCCAAAGTGGTGGGATTACAGGCATAAGCCACTGTACCTGACTAAGTAAACATTTTGATTGTGTTCTCATCAGCCACAGATCAAGGAAGTTATGTAACAGACAACAAAAAAGCAAGGGAGAGACAGTACAACCAATTCCACTAGGGATTGTCACTAAAATGCTCAGTGCAACTGATGGAGAAGAGTTGGATTTCCAGATGCTCTTAAAAGGGAAGGTGGGCCGGGCGCAGTGGCTCATGCCTGTAATCCCAGCACTTTGGGAGGCTGAGGCAGGTGGATCACGTGAGGTCAGGAGTTCGAGACCAGTCTGACCAATGAGATGAAACCTTGTCTCGACTAAAAATACAAAATTAGTGGGCCGTGTTGGTGCATGCCTGTAATCCCAGCTACTTGGGAAGCTGAGGCAAGAGAATCACTTGAACCCAGGAGATGGAGGTTGCAGTGAGTCAAGATCATGCCATTGCACTCTAGCCTAGGCCACAAGAGTAAAAATCCGCCTCAAAAACAAAAAAGAAAAAAAAAGGGGAAGGTGGGAGACTGCTCTATGTACACATAAGGGTTTTCAGAATCATGCTTTGTGGAAATATTTAAAAGGATTAGCACTTAACAAACATTACTTCTTTTGTGCTTTGAAAACTAGTACATCACAAAATTATGAAGGCTCCAAATAAATTGGTTTCAGTTCTGCCCAACAAGGGGCCATTAGATGATGATGGTCTATGGTCAGTGGTAAATCAGCAGTAGCATGGTCTAGAGCAGTGGTTCTAAATTTGAATTACATCAGGATTACACAGAGGGTTGGTAAAATGCAGATTGCTAGACCCACACCCAGAGATTCTGTTTGAGTTAATACAGGATGGGGCCTGGGAACTTGCATTTCTTACATTTTCTCAGATGATGCTGGTACTGCTGGTACAGCCACTGTGCTTTGAGAACTGCTGTCAAATAATACAACACAGTACAGTGCAGTGGTTCTTAACTTTGCCTTTACATTAACCATCACCTAGGAAGCTTTCAAAAATCCCCCTTTCCCTGGCTGTACCCAAGACCAATTAATTCAGAATTTGGGGACATGAGCCCTGGCATCAGCATGTTTTTTTAAGTCTTCCACTGATTCCAATGAGCGGGCAAGTTTGAGAACCACTGATATGTGGGAAGATAGACTTCGTGTCCATAACTGGTTGTTAGGAAGACACATTTCATAAACCACTGAACAGAACCATTGGTGAGCTGTGGATCCTCAAAATATATGTTTTTCCTTCCCCTATTTTCTTCAAAAGTGAATCACAAGAGACCTAAAAACGTGAATTTTTTTGCCAGAATATATATATATGTATCTATAGCTTTTTAATGAACTAAATTCTAGATCTGTAGATCACCAGTTTAAAAGGGCATAAACAAATTTCAGTCCTATTTTTCTACACTATATGGGGGAAATAATGTTATTTATAAATCTGAAATCTATGAAGTTTGGGGTATATATCACTTATATATGTTGGAGGTACGTTCTATCATTCGATGACATTTTGTTGGCATAATTTGGAAATTTTTTACATAAATTCATTTAAAAGTTAGAATAAGTATAGCCAACCACAAGGAAAAAATAAAGATGAGTAGGTAATTAAATTGGTCTAGAGCAGTGATTCTTAAAATTGGTCCCTGGACTGGCAGCATCATCAACATTACCTGAAAATTTATTTAAAATATACAATCTCAGGCAGGTCCCCACTCCAGATCTAATGAATCAGAAACTCTGGAGGTAGGACCCAGGAATCTACATTTTAACACGATTTTCAGATGATTTTAATGCACACTCAAGTTTGAAAATCACTGGTCTAAAGTATTTATTTCCATGCATCTGTAAGAAGATCCAAAGGGGTCAAAACCACTGTTAGTCCAATGTGCATTTGTACAGTTGCTCTATAGACCCACATTGCTCTAATAATAACTATGCGCTTATAAACTCTACCCAAAGTTTATTATCCTTGCATCATTAAAGCTTAAGAGTAAGAGGAAAATTAATAGATATGGAGTATATCTGGGGGGATTTTAGTCTATAAATCTTCCACTATCAATTGTAATCTATTTCTATTTTCTACTCGAGAGAGAATTAAAACTATGGTACTTGACTTATGAGAATAAGAATAAGGAAAAACAAAAACTCATCACGTGAGGTTGGAAGTGGGGAGAGTATTCCCAGGTCCGACACTAACCTTGAATTGTCCTCTTGAAGAACGCCTTGCAGGCTTCACATGACGCTACCCCATAGTGGTACCCAGAAGCGATGTCACCACACACTAAACACAGTCTCTTGGGCATCGAGTTGAGCATGTATTCACACTTGGTCTGGGGATCTTCAACGATAGTGCTGGAGCAGTCATCATACAGTTTCCTGACAGGACCACTACCTCCCAGGATAGGAGCAGAAGGGTAGAGAGGTGGCGAGTCAAGTCCGTTCTGATGGCCATTCATGGTTGAACTGTAGCTCCCACTGGCGTCTGATGAGCCACCAGGGCTGTGGTGGTTGACGCTGTCCGTCAGGGAGGCCGGGCTGGAAGGTTCCGTCTTGATGAAGGACGAACAGCTGGAATCAATGTGTCGATCTTTGTTTGACATTCTGCAGAGAAGCCTGAGATTGAGGGAGATACAGAGAGAGAAAGAGGAGAGAGTGTCAAACACAGACACCAAAAGAGGTAGAAACAAAAGAGATGGTGAAAAAATAGAGAAAGGGAAAGGGAAAGGTAAAAGGAGGAAAAAAAACATTCATATGTTTAAAAAATTCATATGTTAAAGACATTGCTCTTTGAGAGTGTTTCCTAAGGGCTAGGGACTACACATCATTCATTCTCTAGTCAATACTTCTTGTTCCAGAAGAAGGTAATCAGCATAAGGGCATGACAGGGTTACAACAAGGGGCCCAGACAGGCCATAAACAAAAGCTCTAAAGGGTCCAATTGCTTTCATTTTACCTTTCTCTTGGAGAACCAGTGTCAATATCTAAATCAACTCTAGATTCTAAATTTATCAATGGAAGAGGTGGTGATTTGCAAAGTCTATACCATTTCTAAAATTGTATTTATCCTCACTCTACCTTTCCTTCCTCATTCTGATGCTGCAATCATTTTATTATGAGCGGAATAAAACTTTTATTTTCAAGGCTGAACAGATGATTCTCAGCTCTGTAATTACTGTTTGTCAGCACGCTTCCATAAGCATAACTGTGTCTTTTATTGATCTGACTAAAACACATAGGGAATATATCCTCAATCACTTTGTTTCTTTATTTAAATTGCTCTATTTCATAGCCATTTGGCAATATAGAAAGACATCAAGTATAAAATTAAAGCCAATATTTAAAGATTATTTCCTAGAGCCTGCAAAACTTAGTGACTGATCACTAGCATTCATTAATAAATGCGTGCATGTGTTCATGCACATTCACATATGCCATTATTTAAGAGATGAATCAGTAAAAGCCATTTGAGCCTTCAGTATACCTGTGAGTTCACAAATCTGATATTATATTATCTGATGTTATAAAATCTGATGTTATATTTATATTCAGTAAAGTAGAAATGTATCAAATTTTGTCCTAAAAAATATACTTGTGATGGTCCTTCCCCCACTTCTTTTTGTCATTTAACATTATACCTCCTAAAAGGAAAAATGATGAAGCATGTAATCTGGCACACTGTTTTTCTTATCTGGAAGAAACACTTCATCCCTCTTTCTTTGTTGGTCTCACAAGCGACCGAATTTCTGGAAAGGTAATTAGATGAAAAGATATAATTGGTCCTATTTTCTTTTTATTTAGCCATTGTGCAAAATCTTGTTTAGCAAAATCTCTAAGAAGCTTCCGAGAACTCACTATAGAAAGAAGAGGTGACAGTCAAGAAAGGGACTTAGATAATTGCTTCCCAGTGGAAAGTTGATTTATGGGAATCCCTCTGGGTAATGGTCATTCACTAGAATTTGGGGGACTTGTCACAGGATAACCAAAGGGATGCAGTTATCTCTTTCACTATAAATCTAATGATTTTTGATCATTGCGCAAATTTCATGTTCTCCTCCAGGTACTCCATTGTTCGGTTACTTTAAAATGAAGAAAAATATGGAACTTTTCTGGCAGGAAGTTTCACTTAACTGTTCCAAGAAGGCGGTCTCAGGAGCAAAGCATTGAGGCAAGGTTTGCCTCTTACCAAAGATATTTCACTTTGAGAAATCTTGCACAGCTTTCTAAAGTCAAGCAGTATCAGGATGTGAAGAAAGCAAATAGAAAGGAGAAAGCCACCAAAATATCTTCGTGCTTTCGTCCACCCACTTGTGTTGTCCTTTCCTCAAGAACTAGTGAAAGAAAAAAATATCCCCCTCGCCAGCCTGAACTACGGCGTCCTCTCTCTTCTGCATCTGCTGCCTTGTACCCGTCACTGTTAATGAACGTTGTAATTAATAGATCGCTCTCCTTGTCTCCTTAGCACTCTGGGCTAAGCACTTTCCTCAAGTCAACGTTTGAAAGAAAGCGGGTCGGCACTGACTTACAGCAGCCCTGTGAATTCCTTTTAATTTAGAGCACTTACACCACCACTTCACTTATTACCTTATAATTACTGGACTGCGCGCACATACATTATGATCTTAGACTAGAGTTAGAAGTTATTAGGGTACTAAACCATGCTTGCTCCCCTTTCCTCTCTCCAGCACTGAATTTCTCACAGCTATGACAATTAACTATTTCACCATCTGCCTACAAGGCACCATTTCTTTATTTAATTTTTTTTTTTTTTCATCCAGAGGAGAGTTGCTTGGGGCTGCTTGATCTTCAGGCCCTCTTTTTAAAAATTCTTTTTTCTTCTCTCTCTTTTCCTGTATCTTCCATGGTCACTTCCACCCCAGTTTTCTTTTATTCAGGCTCTTCTTCATGGACTTGTAAAATTTGCAGAACTTTTGATTTAAAGAACAAGGCCAGAAATTGCCCTCCCATTTACGGATCAGTTATTTGCTAAACCATCAAATATTTATGTGTCAAATGCATGTTGTTAAAGGCCCTGAAAAATAAGGACTCTCCAGCAAGTTGTCGCATCCAAAATCTCACACCATAACTTGGCAATAGGCTGGATAAAACAAGGAAATTCAGGAGGCACGAGCTGCCAGAGAGGTCCTTGAAACAGAAGAAATATCTTCTCCTAAACAAGGTCTGGCCACTGGAGCCATAAATGAAAGTGAACCCACTGGGTTTGTGCTGCAGGTTGTGCATGTTTTTGCCCTGCCACGAAGTGTTTCCTTAATTAATATCTTTTGCCCCGTGGAAATAATAAAAGTCAGAATTGCCATTTATCAAGTGCCTATTATGTGCCAGGCACTGAGCTGAGCACTTTACAAATATTACCCCTCATTGAATCCCCAAGATAACTTTGTAAGGGAGATATTTCTCTTTAGGAAACCGAGCCTCAAACCTTTCAAAATTTGCTGAGGGTCGTACAGCTAGGAAGCAGTGCAGCCTGAATCTGAACTCAGGCCTGACTCCAAGGTCCAGAGCAGAGATGTCTCGAGGACAACAGAGTTTTTCATGGTGTTTATTTACTCAATTTTAATAAATAAGCAAGCAAGCAAGTTAGAGGTGGCACGCAGAGATCTACTGGTTTTATTTCTCAGCAATTACATCCACAGCCCATGTATAAGTGGAAAAGGGCTGAAGGAGCCACTGCGCTGGCTGCAGGTCTGCCCTACTGCATCACCCACCCAGGGTTTGCAGTGATGCCTAAACAGAATCCCTGAAAGAACACAGCTGTCTCCTAATTACTACTTAGCGCATTACACTGAACACTTCCTAGACACTATTATATTATAACCTAAAACTACAGCGAGTCTTAATTCTCTGCCTCTCTGTCTCTGAAATTCTACAGCTCTATTATTCAAGCCTGAAATATTCACAACTATCTATAAATTCAATTGTCAGCTGGTGGGTTTTATTCTAGACTTCACTTCAATCTAAAATTAGAGGCACTAAAATTCACATTAACTCTAAGAGGAATGTAGTGAATAGGACTTTATTTCAAAAGAACACCTTTTTGTCAGAAAGAGCCATTTTCAAAATGATGGCTTTATCTGTAGCCAAAGAGAATAAGCCCAATTCCACATTGTGCTGTTAATGCAGAAATTTTAAGTCACATTGGATTAATAAAAATCTAAATTTAGTTAAGAATTATGAATAGAAATAACATGTGTCGAAATATGTGGGAAATATTTATTTTAAAGCCTTAGTATGGTTACTATCATTATTTTAAGAGAAATGGTGAGATGAACAGGGAGTAGGACCAGGTAGCTCCCTTCCCAAAACCTCTGAATGAACCCCCTGAGAATAAACTGGAGGGGGAAATAACAATGTCAAGAATAACCTTTAGTTTCTATACGAGACACTAGGTTTGAGGAATTTAACAGCCTACCTGAAATTTCAGGGCTTTAAAAAGCATTTCAACACAGTTTGAGATACAGCATCAAATAATTCTGATGATCATACTTCAACCTAAGAAGTCATTTCCTAGCCCTGCTTAGGGCCAGCAAGGGTAAAAATTATCTTTGGTGTTAGATACTAACAATCGGCCAAACAAAATGTCTTAGTTGTTTGACTATTTAAAGATGTAGTTTTTGAAAGTTAATTAATGGTGCGTATATGTGTGTACACAGAGTGAGGGAAAGAAAGAATAAGAATCAATTAAAGTTGCTGCTGTAGGGGAAAAAAGGATAATCTGTAAGTTAATGTTCAATTTATATTGTAATTATTTTTGGATTAATAATTGTTTTCGGAGATTCTACCTACATCCAGGTAAATGTGTGATCGTGAATGAACTGTCAGGAGTTTGAATCTCCACATGCACGTGCTGATGTTCAAAGGGCTCTACATTTCAATGGAAGTTCTGAAGCTCAGCCAGTACTTTCATTTGTTAAACACTGGCATAACAATAATGTTCCATAGGGTTATGCATTATTAACCCTTTCACCGAAATACAAGTTCTTAACAAGCAGCTGTATTTCATCATGTGAATTTTACACAGATCTTGAATTCATTTGCTACTGTATTTCCCCCTAAAACAAATGGAGAAATAAATGGGAAAATGGCTGCATAAAATTCTCCTAAGGAATGTGTGTACAGATCATCTTAGATCTTCTCGTTTGTTATACTAAGGCAAGATCTTCTGCCACTTTTACTATATCTATACCAATAATAAACCCTTTGGTAGGCTAAAGAAATGTCAACTAAAGAAGTCAACATATTTGCTTTTCTTCTTTGTCATCCTTAAGGGCCTGGAAAGGTAATCATCATCATTATAAATTCCAAATGCTTTAAAAATTTATTTCCAATATTTTTGTATAAGGACACAATGCAGCAAACCTCCAAGTTTACATACAAATACAGAGATAAGAAGAGTCCCCAGCTCCTCTGTGTGATTCATCGGAATCACAGAATTTCAGGGACGGAAAAGAAGGTTATCAAAATCACTACTGATTCAAAACAAAAATGAATCTATGGTGATTGGTTGATTTTCTACGTTCTGAAATTACCAGATTAAATATTTAAGTATTTGTGTTTAAAAAAATAAAAAGCTCTTAATAGCCTATAGTGTGTATTTG